TAGTGGATAATCCAAAAATGTCATTTATATTTGGCCTCAGAATGCATTACCAGATGTTACTCTAGCAGATTTCCCTTCCTAATTAGGCCTCACTTAAAGTAGGAGTTAATTTTGTCTTCATTAGCTGCTTCCAAATCAGCAGGATGGGGCAAAGAGGAAGCCCAAGGCATGCTGGGTATTTGGGAGGAAGCTGGCCCAGTGCTAAAAGTCGCCCGTAGATCATGCTCAAAGAATGAAATTCAAATATGGGCAATCAAGACCATGGGCATATACACTGGAAATGTTTGTTGAGCATCTTCTTGAAGAATTCTCGGGCTTTTATCAATTCTTTTTGTCTCCCTATTAACCATAAGTGCAGAAAAAATTCTGTAATAGGAATTAGGCAGATAATGACCTGAAATTTTATATATATATAAAAAAATAGAGGCTCAGAGAGGTTAAGTGACCTCTCACATAGATTGATCTCTGAGTAAGCAGTACCTAAGATACTGAAACTGATTAATGAATGATAAGAAGACCCCACTGTTTCTTTCTTATTGATGATTTGAATAATGAGGAAGCAAGAATTCTCCCCTGGCCTAATTCGCATTAAGAGAGCTAAGATAATGAAGCTGTGATTAAATGGCTATTAAACTATTTTTATCAAACAGAGATCAAGCGAGTGTGAGAATCTGGGGATGCAGAGTGTAATTGCAATTCTACAAGATGTGGAAAAATTTACTATCATAAGCAGGGCATGGTCCTTCCATAATAGCCTGCATTTAAAAATCTTTGGAATACCACATGCAGCTTTCACTTTGCACTTCTCCCTTCAGGTGTTGGTTAGCATCTCAGAGGCCCTCATTTCCTCCTTCATTTAGTAGATTTATTCACTCTCTATGCACTTGGGTGAGCTGAATGCACTGTCTGCCCCACCATGTGTAATCAGTTGGAAGATCCTTTTGCCAACTGCTCACAAGGGAAGCAGGCCCAGATATTAGGTACTGGATCCCAAATTTCAATCTCGAGGTGACTCTGAGCACTTGAAGGAGCAGAATCGACCTTCCTTTAACTGTGCCCTTTGAATTAGATCACACTTAGTACAGGTCAAATAGGGACCCAGCAGTCCCAACGACAAATGCTTCCAAATCAAAGCATTTGGTTTGATGGAGTGTTCTGAACTACCATTTGTTCATGACAAAGGCTTTGTAATTGTACATTTTAATATTGGGTTGTTAGTATACATGTACTTGTATCATCCATCACTGGAAATTCTTTACAACTTGAGTTTTTGCTGATGAGGCGTCTTTATTCCTGGAGCTCCCTTAGAGAGTAGGTGTTACAGTCACACAGACCTTTGTTTTGGCGGGAAGAATAGCAGCAGACTTGTGTAAGGAGACCCCAAGGTTGACACCCACCATGGGAAAAGCTGCTTGTGAGTTACAGAGCTCCCCTGTGGAAATGACCGTTGGCCTGTTTCCTACCTCTCTTTACCTCTCTGCTACCACCTGCAAGACTGAGCTCAGCTGTGTAGCCGTCGATCGCTACCTAATTGGTGACCCACTCTCTGTTTTTCACCTCTCTGCTTTTCTTGTCTTAACTTATATGGGGCTAATAAGTGTATTTTTGTGAAAGTGGTGATTTCAAACTATTAGAAAGCAGTATCAGAGTGGAGTCTTTGAAAGGCTATCTTACAAAGTCATTTTACAACCTAATGTGTTTCCATGCCCCGTCACCTGTGAACAGACACGTGTTAGTGGACCAGTGTGCTTCATCCGCAGTGACTTTGATTTATTTGCTCTGTAAATTGGGACCGAAGCATTAATAGGAAGTGACATTAATTGTTTACCAGAATCCTTTTTGCCACATCCATTGCCTAATCTGGAGTGTTTGCTTGTTGAAACTCATGATAAACTAATTGAAATTGCCACAATAAGGAGCAATGTCCACTCACTTTTATATACGGGAATATCTGTGGAGCTTCAAAACAAAAAAGTCATCCATAATTGTTTTAACCTTTCCCCCCACTCTTTTGTGATTAGACAAAACATGGAGAATTTGCAACAGTTTCTTCTTCCATAAATCAAGAACAACTTTATTAAACTAAATGGTTTCTGAGCACCTCTCTGAGTCACCCACATTCAGGGACGGTAATAAAGAGATTTAATCATTGTTTCTGATGAACATGAACTAAATGATGATTAAAGTCGTACTGGTCCATACTGGTTGAGTACCAGCCTGCCCTAGCCACATACCTGAACACACACACACACACACACACACATACACACACACACACACTGCCAGTCTTCCATCCCACAACCCTCTCTCCCATTGTGGTTCCAGTGGAGAGAATTTAAATAGCTGTGGTTTAATCAGATCTTGTAAATTAATTATGACATTATCAGGCTCCAATATTTCTGCTATTGTTTTTGATATACATTCACCCAGGCTTTATTAAAGAAACTGGAGAAAACTAGTTAATTTAAAGTGCTCTTTGTCACTCTGACTTGATTGGAATTATTATAGTTTGTTTACACGAGGGATAGAACTAAGGCGCTATTGTATTATGTGATTGAAAGCAAATAGAGGTTTGTAGCATTGCTGGAAAGCCAAACACAAAATTTAAATCGGGGTAAACAAAATTACTCATTTATTGGTAAACATTCTTAACTGTTTTTCTGGAGCTATTTTTGAACACCATTGAAATAAATCTTTCTGAAAATTGGGATACCTGGAAAAGTCCAATTCACTGAGTTGTGCTTGAGATATCCTCAAAGATTATTTTTATTAGATAATATACATACATATATATTAATGTAAGTCTCATGATTTTAGATGATTTAAAACAATACATGTTTAATTTAAATATAACTTTCTATTTAGGATAGATTTAAACCAAATTTGGTTTTTTGTATGTGGGGGAATCTAAGTTAAAAGGGAAGAGATTGGAATCTTTGGACACTAGATTATGACCCCGGGCAGAAAATGACAGTCATTTCAGTATCTTTATTATTCAGATTACCTGGACAGATCCAGAAGGATGGAGGCTGGGAGATATGCTCAATAACATTTTGTTATTAAATCAAGCAATTTGTTTTTTAAGAGTTGGTCAGTTTATGGAAGAAGTGGTGCCATTTTGGAGTCAACATTTCACCCCTCTGATTAGGATTTACCTCTTACATTGGAGTCTTCAAACTCAGAAACTTGTCATTCTACCCTGTGTGTCCAAAACCACTTGACTCAACAGCATTAAGTCCAGGGGCATTAGAGAGATACATTATGTAAATGTAAGAAACACTAGTGAAATCCACCGTGAGTAAAAATGGCTCTTTTCGGCCCCTTGAATCCAAAAGAGAAATAAGTCTGTAGTTTTACTCCTGGATGGGGGGCTCCTCAGTAGTGAAGGAAAACAATTTTTATGTGAAAATAGAATGTATACGTGATAAAGGCCTGCCTAATTTCTCTAGTAATACAATTTGATTTTCTGATTAGCTGTCTTATTCTGTGATTCTTGTAATTTTGTCAGGTCAATTAACTGGAGTTGAGTGCTAGAGAGAAAGGACGTGTGGGCACTGCTGGCTTCATTAGATGTCAGTAGCTTAGGTGCCTTTTGTAATAGAATCTGTGTGGGATAATTTAGCCGATATTGTTAATGTCATAGCATACAGAACTTAAAAAAAAAGATTTATGAAGCAGGTCACATTGGACAAACAATGTGAAGTGCTAACAGAAGGGAGAAAAAGTGATCTCTACAACCTACATTCTCGGTCCTAAATGCAGATCAATGAATCATTCAGCAAGGAAGCAATGACTACTGTGTGGTAGCATTGATCGGGCTGCCCAGGTGCTTGGAGTAGAACATATTTCCCTCTAAACAAGGGGTATAAGCTCCAACTTGGGAGATCTTGAAAGTTTTTGTACAAATGCCTGAAATAAATATTATCTTTTATAATACATTATTTACATGTTCTTCCCTTCCACTGGAAGGTTTTTGAGGGCAAAGGTTTATCTTTCTCTTTTTATCTCTAACATCTAACACCAAGCATGGCCCTGGTATTGTAGGTGTGCAAATGTTTATGGAATGAATACCTGAAGATTAACTCTCCAAGGGAGTGTTGATGGGCATGATTGTGGGAGTTGGGGAAATGAGTTAGGATATGTTCTCAGGAGCCCCCATTCAAAGTAATGCTGCACTAGACCAGTGCCCCAGCCACAAGAATTGAATGCATTTAAGAGACGTTACAAAATGAGACTCTACTTAATGGCTGACCAGATAAAGAAGACTCGAGGTAGTTCTAGAGTTTGTCTGAAGAACTGTTACCCAAACTCAGGAAGTCAAGGGAAACAGCAGTTTTGTTGTGAAAGGTCCTAAGTTTGGGTTTTGAAGAATGACGGAGCTATTATCAGGTAGAAATGTCCAGTGGGCAGTTGTAGATTTATGACTAAAGTTGGGAGAGATGTCAGGGAGGGTAATAAATGGCTGTGGAGTGTTCAGTGATGAGATTATAATTGAAACCATGAAAGTGTATAGTTCCTCTTGGTATAGTTTCAGTTTCTGGTGCTGTTCAAACTGAGGGTTATCTAAACATTTTGGCTGTACAGGAGATTGAAACACTGCATCTGCAGATGAAATAGATGATGGCTAAAATTCTCTCAAGCCCTGAGATTCTCTAGACCTTCTCTTTTGGTTAGGGAAACGACGTAAACATGGGGAAGGTGACCGCGAGAAAGACAGAGTCCTACCCAGTTGTAATAAGCACCAATATCATAAATCGTTAAATTGGATAGCTCAACAATCAGAGACGGGTACCAAGAGATATCAGTTAATTGTTGACTTAAGACCAAAAGTGAATTTGGAACTTGGGGAAGACATGATCTTTTGTATTCTGGCATGAATATTCAAAATCTCACAAATAGTTTACCCATTTGGATAAACATGATCCCTTTATGCTGACTGATAGTGTTCCCTATCCCCCAACATCAGCCCACTCATGACGTCTGTTTTTCTGTTCTTGCAGAAGATAGATGAAGAGAACGAGGCGAACTTGCTAGCAGTCCTCACAGAGACACTGGACAGTCTCCCTGTGGATGAAGACGGATTGCCCTCATTTGATGCGCTGACAGATGGAGATGTGACCACTGAGAATGAGGCTAGTCCTTCCTCCATGCCTGACGGCACCCCTCCGCCTCAGGAGGCAGAAGAGTCGTCTCTAGTAAGAACCCTTCCTAGTGTTTAACAGGAATTGGAGTTGCCTCTGGCTACCCGCTGCATGGGTATGATGTAGTAACAATAAGGTTTGGATTTTTAATTTAGACTGATGCCAAAGTAATTCCCGAGCATGCTCGGAGATGCAAATTCTGTGATTCTGTGTTTAAAAATGTTGGTCATGGGGCGCCTGGGTGGCTTAGTCCGTTAAGCATCCGACTTTAGCTTAGGTCATGATCTCGCGGTTCGTGGGTTCGAGCCCCGCGTCGGGCTCTGTGCTGACTGCCAGCTCAGAGCCTGGAGCCTGTTTCAGAGTCTGTCACTCCCTCTCTCTCTGACCCTCCCCTGCTCACGCTCTCTCTCTCTCTCTCTCTCCTAGAAATAAATAAAACATAAAAAAAAAAGTTTTAAAAATGTTGGTCATAACAGTCTTCATGTGGTCTTACTGCAGTTTGTTTCTAACTGTCTACTGCTCTGTGTGTGTATTTTTATTGCTTAGCATTATTTATGCTCACGGTAGAAACTTAGAGAATGCAGACAACCCAAGATGAATACACTAAAAATTTACCTGTAATCTCAAATAATCTCTAGTATAAAAAAGGGTGAAATCTCCTCTTGTTTTAAAATACATCATCATATTTGTGAATTTTAAATGGGCATAATTGTTAATGTCACATATGATTTTATTGTTTGGAGATGCTTTAATTCATTAAGAGATGTCTTATGGTTGAATATTTAGTCTTTTTCCTATTTTTTCACCATCATAAATTATGTAATAATTGGCATATTTGTAGTTTTATTCTTATGCCCATGATTCTAGAAATAAAAAGTGGAAAAAGGAATATGCAATATTTTAAGGTTTCAGATCCATAATTCTTATGAAGATTGAAAAATAATAGCACGTTTTGCAACCTAAGTTCCCTAAATTTATGGTCGGCAATGAAGAGTGAATTTGTTGGCAATGAAGAGTAAATTTTCTTTCTGATACAGTGCTTGACCAGAATTTTATTAGTTCTAAGTTTACCTTCTCATCTATGGTAGCCATTTGTCATTTGCCATAAATCTGATGTAAGACCACACTATGTAAATTATGGAATGCTATTCTCCAAAGTTTAATAATGTTCCTTGGCATGCCATTTAGAGGTTGTTTCTCTCCCATGTCTAAGTTTTTTAAATGTGGACAGCACTCCACGTAAACATATGGAGACTCATATGCCTGTGCGTTTCGAGTTTTCTGGTTTAGAAGAAACTTTCATAAGTAATTGTTACCTGCCCCCCAACACCATTTCTGAATTTCTCTGATTTCTTTACATTGATACCAGAAGATTTTCATCCACATAATTCATTTAGTGGGGGGGGTTGTTGATTCCTATTCATCCTGCCTGTCCAAGGCCGGGGATCCCAGTAGGCCAGCAAGTCAAATGAAGAAACAGAGGTCAAGAAAGAGTAAATGACCGGGTACCTGAGTGGCTCAGTTGGTTAAGCATCTGACTCCATTTCAGCTCAGGTCATGATCTCATGGGTTCATGAGATTGAGCCCCATGTTGGACTCTGCACTGACAATGCAGAGCCTGCTTGAGATTCTCTCTTCCTCTCTCTCTGTCCCTCCCCTGCTTCTGTGCACATGTACATACACAATCTCTCTAAAAATGATTAAATAAACCAAAAAAAAAAAAAAAAAGAAGGAGTAAATGCTTTGCTTGAACCAGAATCCCATCTCCTGACTCTATCTACTTACAAATCTTTTTCAGTGATAGCCACTCTTTCAGTCACAAATATTTGAATCAGTAAAGTTAAAATGGATTGTGAAATATCATTCAAAGCATTACAGAATCTTTTATGTATTTTCACTTGATGAGTTTGGGTTATTATGGGGACAATGGACATAGATTCTCTCCCCAGGCCCCAATTCCTCATTTGGCAAGGCAGCGTTTCTCACCTAGTAGGTTATTTAGAATCCTTTTAGAAAGAACCTTTTGCCTTATTTTACCTAAAAAAAATAATCAAAGTAGACAATATTAAGTCTCAAGTGTAGGAAAAGGAATACTCTCACAGTTGACAGTGTAGTGCCAAATTTTTCTTTTCAAAAATATGTTTCCTTTAGCACTATTGTGCTGAGGTGTGAATATAATTAAAGAGTGATAGAATTAATTTTTATAATTATAATTAATTAAGTTTAAGTTTAAAATTTCCATAGCTTATTCAAATGCTTAAAAGATGCGTAACTCTTCTTGCTTTTCCCCTTGATGTGTTTCTAGCTTAAGAAGCTCTTACTGGCACCAGCCAACACTCAGCTAAGTTATAATGAATGCAGTGGTCTCAGTACCCAGAACCATGCAAACCATAATCACAGGATCAGAACAAACCCTGCAGTCGTTAAGGTACGACGTGAACTTTGTAATATAGGAGGGAAACTAACAAAAGATTTTGCTTGGAGCTGTAAAACAAAGGATAGGTTTATTTCTATGTATTCAGTTGGGATCCTGCAGTCGCTTTATAACTGTGAAACTATATGAAATGCCTTTCCAAAGGCAGTGCTCCAGCTACTTTAGACTAAAAAGAGTTCATTTATGCTTTGTCTTTGGATGATTGGAATGGAAGTTCCACTGTCTGTTACTCCTTGCACACTTTATTAATACGTGCAGCAATGTGGGTTACAATAAAATTTGCTGATAGGCTGGTATTATCTATGAGTGACTTTAAGATGCAGGGCCGCCGTTCTGCCAGCTATCTAACCTGAGAAAGATTGCTCTGGAATCACCGCAAAAGATCTATCTCTGCCATTAATTGGAGAGAATGCTGGCAATGACATAATTCGGTTAGCGGGCTGTATTAAACAATGTTTGTCTTGCCATTCACTGTGAGTGAAAACGGAGCGTTAAGGGGTACTTAAGAGAATTGTGAATACAGGGCTCCAGCAATCAGTGGCAAATTAAGGTTTAAACCAGCTTATTTTTTTTTATTCACAGTAAAGGCGCTATAGGGTCTTGTTAGTTACATGTTGCTGAGTAGGAACATTGAAATGTAGGAGAAATGAAATAAAAAGCTGCATAAATGTCATTTAGGAATTTTAAATGTAATTTTCTTTCCTTGTTCTGCAAACAATTATTCACAGCTCATAGATCTAGTACACTTAGACTGAACACTTCATTGAAAATCTCATCTCTTCAGAAAACCTATATCCATTCTGATAAGGTTCAGTTCACTAATTTTAGCTTTCTTTATGCCTTGTTTTTAAGACCGAGAATTCATGGAGCAATAAAGCGAAGAGCATTTGTCAACAGCAAAAGCCACAAAGACGTCCCTGCTCAGAGCTTCTCAAGTATCTGACCACAAATGATGACCCACCTCACACCAAACCCACAGAGAACAGAAACAGCAGCAGAGACAAATGCACCTCCAAAAAGAAGTCCCACACACAATCGCAGTCTCAACATTTACAAGGTAGGCTGGGGACCCAAACACAGGCTGTGGGGAGGGCACTGAAGGCAGAGCCAGCATGCACCAGGCTGGAATGCCCCCACTTCGGGCTTTCGCTTCACTGCTGTCTCTCTGGAAAGAGAATTCAGCACTTTAGTATAGATTTTTTTTTTTTTTAAATCTTTCCTTGGACACAGCTTGAACATGTCCTCTTCTGCTGATATGCAGCCTCATTCACAATCACCAAAAGGCACCTGAAATTGTGAGCTGGGTGGGGAGGAGGGTCGTGAAAAGGGAATCGTTACTCGGACAAGGTTTATGTGAAATCTGAATTGCGGAGATAATTGAAATTCTGAGCCAGCTGGGCTAGACAATATTAAAAAGCTTTTATTTCCTCCCCCCCTTCTAATAATGGAAAAAATGAGGCATTGTTGATTTGCTCTATACACCTTAAGAAATAGTACATGGTGTTTGTGCAGCCTCTCCCGATTATTAAGTGTATTATTTTCTTTTTTTAAAGACTACATGTTATACTCATAGATTTTATTTCGTAAATAAGAGTTTGGAAATCCCTGGACTTTATTTTTATTTGCTTTCTATGAAAAAATATGGCCTAGAGCAAACTAAGCATCTGGGGTGATTTTTATTATTCCCATACATTGCTGGAAGGCTGATGATTCTGAGGCAGATCAGGGTGATTTGGGGAAAACCTGCCTTGTCTAAGATCGAGATATAATTTTCTTTCTTTTTGGCTCTTCCCTCACAATAGTCCTGAGAGGCCCAAAGGAAGCTTGTTGAAAGTTGCGGTTGCTTTAAAATATTCCAGGTTCCACGTTCGCCCTACTTTTAACCTTATAGTGGGAACAGACATATTGTAAAATAGCCATTGCAAACACCCACTTCTTTTTTTCCCTTTTGTTTCCTCGACTTCCCCCTCCAGCTGCAGAGTGGTAGTCCCTGATCCCTGTTTTGAACCATGATTATTTCATTCAGGTATGCCGTTGCTGCTGCTTTTAATAAGTATTTTCTTTCCAGTGTTTCGAATTTCCCTCTCTCATCCCTACATCCCCATAAACCTTCCGGAACCTTCTTTCAGAGTTTTAAATTGGCTCTCATTGAGGTTTTCCCTCGTGGATATCTCAGAATCACTGGCCATCCTTTTCTGTCAGCTCAGGGAAAGAGATTTCTTGAAATGGGCCAAGTTGTTTTTGTAGCTCACCTTGCCCTGATTGGCCCCTCACACGCGTGCACCGGAACAGTTTTGCTTAGAGCAGGTGCTGTGGGTCACAGTGGTGTGGAGAGGGCCTCAGAGGCAGGGGGCGCAGCTGGGCTTACTCTAGTGAGCAGCTGAAAAACTCACTGGGCTGCTCTCCACCTTGTCCTAGTCTGTCATGGTCATGCATTCAGTGTTTTTGGAGCTGAATTTTAAGTCCTAAGCCTGCTGAAACCCTGTAGTGCGTGAATCCAGACAAGCAGCACATATTGAAAACATCTTTTTTTATTTAAGTTTATTTATTTATTTTTAGAGAAACAGAGACAGTACCAGTGGGGAAGGGACAGAGAGAGAGAGAGAGAGAGAGAGAGAGAGAGAGAGAGAGAATCCCAAGCAGGCTCTGCACTGTCAGGACAGAGCCTGATGAGGGGTTCAGACTACAAACCATGAGATTGACCTGAGCTGAAACCAAGAGTCCGATGCTTAATCGATTGAGCCACTCATGTGCCCCTCAACATCTTTTTAATTTTTACATTCTTAAAACTTTATTTGGCCCTTTTGGATTTTGAGGGTTTGGGGGTTTGGGGTTTGTTTGTTTTTTAAATCCACTTACCACTAAAATTACTGTAAATTCTTACAAAACCATGGTAGTGAGGCGTTAAGTTGGCCTGGGCAGAATATATGCCTTAGATGAGACTTGCTCTGTATGGGTTTTTTAAAAAGATATTTTGTCTGTGGAAAAGCATAAAAAGTTTATCCCAGAACAAAGCCTGTTGACAAAAACACAAAAAGCAAAACTAAATTAACCTAGAAAATGTCTGAAGTTATTAAAGACCTAAAATAAAATAAACAAAATGGTTGGCTGTGGATAACCAACAGGAAATAAACACTCAGTTTCAGGAATGACTTAAATTATTATTCAAACTGATAAATATATTAACAATTAGAGACAATAACCAAAGATATACCGAGGATTACCTTTCCTGATGTAATGTTTTCTTAGTGAACTACATGTCTGCTGTCTGTGATGTTGTGGGGTCAAGTTCTTTCACTTCCTTAGGGTAATGGTCTGATCTTGGCCTCACATTGGTGCCCCATTTATTCATTTTATGCTAATGTATTCATTCATCCAAAATACTGTAATCTGGATGAAAAAGATGCATCCTTGCCCTCAGGGATCTTAGAGGCCCTGGCCTATCTAGTCATTGGGATAGTGTAGATTAAACTCCTAGTAAACCAAATCAGTACTCCCCTAGTGGTAGCTTTTGTGACTGTGGGCATATTCAGGGATCATGGTATCATGATCACCTATACCCAACTATCAGAATGTTAGGGATATTCCTTTGAGCATTTCCAGGCAGCCTACCCTACACCTTGAAAACTGGAATTTCGGAGACTGATTTTTCAATGTCTATTTATTCTGTGACTTAGCACACAGTTTGTATCTAGTGATATTTCTATGGAACCTATATGCCTGATCCTAATTATTAGTTGAATGCCGAAAAAGTTGGTAAATTTCCTTCATGAGTATGTTCTTTTGGAAAGGCTCATTTTATCAGACATACTAAAACAATTAATGTAAACCAGTTCATTTGTCTGTATGTATAAAAGCCAATCAATCAATGTACCTAATTTGTAGAAGACAACATGAACTTCATATTCCTGGATGCACATTGGATAGATGATAAACCATTCGATTGTATAAAAACTAAATCTAAATAGACAAATTAAATATGTAAATACTATTTATCTAAGTAAAGTATGTAATTTCAGCCTAATTTGGACATAAATAATATTTTCACATTTCAAAGGACCTTAATTACTGGGGTTGATTAATTTACTTTAATATCTGTTGAATACAATTCCTTTTGGTAATAAGAAAAAGGAAAGATATTCTGGGCTGACTCTACCAGGAACTAGTTTTATGGTCCTTCAAAATATCATTTCACGTCTTCAGACCTCAGGTTTTTCATCCATAAAATAAGAGTTTATTCTAGAGACCTTTTTACTTTCAAGTCTAGGATTTTCAGTACCTTTTCAAAGTAGTTAGGACCTTTGGAAAGTAGTTATGTTAATGAGAAAAAATTGACCTAAACTTACTTACATATAAACATGTCTTTATAGATAAGCACATATATGCATAATGTGCGGATGTATATCCCAAATACATTTCTCATCATGTTTACCCCTCCTTCTGTTCAAAATACAAGACTGCCAAGGAGAAGCAATTGAAATTTTGGAGTGAGAATATTCTTACTCCACCCCTCCTAATTAGGAAATGCCACTTGTAGGAGGTAAGATTCAGGAAGCATAAAAGGAAGTAAACGAGCTCTCTTTGCAAGTCTATTGGTCTCTCAACTGATAAACACAGTATTTTACTTTAGAAGTCTGTAAGATTTGGGGAGCTAAACTTCTTTTAAACCACCTGGGTCAATGTCCACAATTTGTCATAATCTCTCAATTAATTTTCAGTAAATGGAATGATTATTGCTTGAGCTTTGGCCTCATAGAAAAAAACCTATTCTCAGGGCTAGATATAAAATTATACATTTTAGAAGAAAAATCAACTGAATATTCATAACGTTCTGTTGTCTGATAGTTATTCTGCTGTTTTCTTGTCTAAACAAACCGTGTACTGTATTCCAAATTAAAATAGAAAACATTATTTCTCTCTGATGGTATGATGCAAATTTTGTATCCTTAACCAAGATGCTACATTTCGGGGAAAATTCTGGTTTCTGTATGTGTTTTTGAATGATATTTTACTGCTGCAAATGTTGTTTGGAATTTGTTTTAGCATAATGGACTGTTGTCTGACTTTGATCCAATATTCAGGGATTTCCTTATGTTAGTTTTCCAGTTTCAGTTTCCAACCTGATTGTAGTAAAAAAAAGAAAAAAAAACTTAAAAAACCCCTCAATATTTCATAATTAGTTTCCTTTTCTTTCCTTTAGCCAAACCAACAACTTTATCTCTTCCTCTGACCCCAGAGTCACCAAAGTAAGTATTAAGAAATGTAACCATTTTCAGAAAGGGAAGGGGGTTCTAATACATTTGGCTACAGCAACTCCATTTCAGTTTGTTTTTATAAATGTGCCATATCTTCCAGTGACCCCAAGGGTTCCCCATTTGAGAACAAGACTATTGAACGAACCTTAAGTGTGGAACTCTCTGGAACTGCAGGTAAGCCTTATATTTCACTTGAAATGGAATGTGTGTATTCGTGTGTGTGTGTGTGCACATGTGTATGTATGAAATATGTATTAAATAACAGCATGTACTCTCTATGTGATTAATGAAATTAACGAATAGTACAAGCAACATTGGATAAGAAGTTGCCTATAAATATTTTCCTATATTCTTTTTTTTTTTTTTTTTTTTTTTTGAAGAAGACATTTATTTTGTGTCAGACCGGGGCCAGAGCCTCTGATGTATATTATTGCTTTGGTTCCTTGAATTACCCTATTTCAGACTGAGACCCCAAAACTTGAACAGAAGGAATTATTTAAATTTTTTTAAAGTTTTATTTATTTTTGAGAGAGAGAAAGACAGACAGCACACGAGTGGGGAAGAGGCAGAGAGAGAGGGATACACAGAATCCAAAGAAGGACAGAGGCTCTGTCAGGACAGAGCCCGACACAGGGCTTGAACTTGTGAACCACGAGATCATGGCCTGGGCCAAAGTTGGATGCTTAAACGAATGAGCCATCCAGGTACCCAAACAGAAGGAATCTTTGACAGGTTTCACAATAACCTCATGAAGATAGTGATAGTTTTCTTATCTTTAAGATGAGAAAATAAGGTTCAGATATGTTAAGTAACTTGCCCAAGATCACAGAGCTAGAAAACAGGGAGCAAAGTTCTGAACCCTGGTTTAGCCCTTATATCAATGTTTTAATTGGAATATTTTATCACTCACCATTGTACTTAACAGTATGATGCTCTCCTATATATGTTACCATTTTTATATCATCTCAGCAAAGGAGGAAAATATGCCCATTCACCAAAACAAAATATATTCATATATTTGTAAACAAGAATGATTTTCTTCACCAATTGGACTTCTGGACTCATTTAGTCAATCTTACTTTATATACTGAAGAGAAAGAAGCCTTAAAAACTTGGAGTAACCCCTGAGTAACTTAGTAATCCAAAGACTTCCTAGGAAGACTTCTTTTTTTTTTTTTTAAATAGTTTATTGTCAGGTTGGTTTCCAAATAACACCCAGTGCTCATCCCCACAAGTGCCCTCCTCCATGCCCATTAGCCCCCTTCCCCTCCCCCCCTATCAGTTCTCCGTTTGTTCTCAGAAGACTTCTAATTTGGTTGCAAATGGTGCCTTTGTACTGAGTGCTTTATGTGTAGGTACTTGAACTACACTGGAAAGTGAACCTTAGGCTGTCTGAAGTAGAAGTTCCTTGGCTCTGGCCATTGCTGATAAGGGTAAAGGAACAGTAACTTAAACAAGATGCTTTTAACCAAAACTATAGTGTCTACGTACACCATGGTCATGATTACTAAGTTTAATTTCACACTTTGAGTTTGCTAAGTTACCTCCTTATGAAAAAGGTCTATTGCATGATTGCATGATTTGGTCAAGTAGTAGCTTAGTTAATTTCATGGTTTTTATATATACATATGCAAATATGAACATATCTTTATATGCTTAGATATATATATATACACATATACTCACTAAAAGCATACGCATTACATCATTTCTTAAGTAAATTATTATTACTTATATAAGTAACTTTTATGTGTATATATCATATTCAGAAGAGATCTTCTTATCTGACCAATAGGAATGAGTGTTTGGTGAGTCTATTGAAAAAGTTGATTAAAGTTTACAGCTTTGCCATTTTACTTTTGTTTAAATCATATAAAAAACATTCAAATATCAAATTTTCTGTATAAGAAACAGAGATGTTCGCTTTGAACTTAAATGTCCTAACTGGTAATCCATTCCACTTTCTGGCACAAACTGCACTAATACTGTAATTCATTTCTTGATTACTAAAAAAAAAAAATTTTAATGTTTTATTTCTTTTTGAGAGAGAGAGAGAGAGAGACAGTATGAGCGGGGGCGGGGGGTGGTCAGAGAGAGGAGACACAGAATCCAAAGCAGGCTCCAGGCTCTGAGCTAGCTGTCAGCACAGAGCCCGACGCGGGGCTTGAAGCCACGAACTGAGAGATCATGACCTGAGCTGAAGTCGGATGTTTAACCGACTGAGCAACCCAGTTATCCCCATTTCTTGATTTTTAAAGGAAAAGAATTAAAGATATTTGTGTCATAGTCTGAGTGCAAAATCATTCCAGATTTCTATGATTTTCATATAAATAAAAAATGATAATAATTTCCCATGTTTTTCCAGTATTTCCAATACCACCTGTCTACCACTTATTTGACAACTTTGTTTTAGTGACATATCTTTATTGGTTCTTCTTATAGAAACAATTTTTCTTGTATTTCACTCAATTTCATAATATTTTATTATCTTACATAATTCCAGTTACCACTATAATAGACATCAACTTGTTTGGGAAATACTACTGTGGATCATGATAACAACTCAGTTAAATCTATTAAATGTAAGTGTTCTGAATGTTATATTAGGCAGTTACGTTGTTTCAAAGAGGAGTGAGAAAGCTTCCACTGTGTATACCCACACCAAGGTTTCTGCTGAAACAATTTTATCATGTATTATTGTATTATGTATTGTATTATGAATAATTTAATCTTACTATAAAAATATCGAAAATATAAACTATTAGAAAACTTATTTATAATTTTAAGATGTACAATTATCTATAGTATTTTTCCCTATGGATAATTTTACACATTATATTTATACTATAGTCATTTTATATATATAATTTTGTATCCTGATTTTTCAGTTAACGTTTTAACAGGAAATTTTTGTATCACCACAGACCCTTTACTATCAGGTTTTTAGTGCATTGTATGACAACACACTAGATCAAAATTTATTTCATCTACAAAAGGTAGATAAAAATTTATTTAATCATACTCCTATTATGAATTTCAATTGTTTTAAAGAGTCACTGTTTTGAAATAGCACTGCATTAGAAATGTTTGCTCATGATTTTTTACTGAAGTATAGTCGACATACAATGTTCTATTAGTTTCAGGTATACAACCTGGTAATTCAGCACTTCAATATATTATTCAGTGCTCACCATGATAAGTGTAGTTATCATCTGTCACCATGTAAGTTTATTGCAATATTATTGATTAATTCCCTATGCTGTACTGTCCATTCTCATGACATATTTATAACTGGAAATTCATACCTCTTAATCCCCTTCACATATTTTGCCCATCCCTCGATCTCCTTCCCCTCTGGCAATCACCAGTTTGTACTCTGTATTTATGAATCTGTTTCTGTTTTTGTTGTTGTTGTTGTTGTTCGTTTATTTTGTTTTGTAGATTCCACATAAAAGTGAAATCACATGGGATTTGTCTTTTTCTGGCTTATTTCACTTAGTGCAAGACACTCTAGGTCCATTCATGCTTTCAGAAATGGCAAGATTTTATTCTTTTTTATGTCTGAGTAATATTCCATTATATATGTATATTACATTTCCTTTATTCATATATTGCTCTTATATCTTGGCTATTATAAATAATGCTGTAATAAATGTAGGGATGCATATGTCTTTACTAATTAGTGTTTTCATTTTGTTGAGCAGATACCCAACAGTGAAACTACTGGATTATATGGTATTTCTATTTTTAATTTTTTTAAAAATATTTTTTAATTTATTTCTAGGAGAGAGAGAGACAGCGTGAGCAGGGGAGGGTCAGAGAGAGAGGGAGACACAGACTCTGAAACAGGCTCCAGGCTCTGAGCTGACAGCACAGAGCCCGACGCAGGGCTCGAACCCACGAACCGCGAGATCATGACTCATGCGAAAGTCGGACGCTTAACCGACTAAGCCACCCAGGCGCCCCTCTATTTTTAATTTTTTGAGGAACCTCNCCCCCCCCCCCCCCCCGAAGTTACAAGGGTTCCTTTCTTTCAGCACCCTTACCAACTCTTGTATCTCTTGTCTTTAGATACTGGTTGTTCTCACAGGTTTAAGGCGATATCTCACTGTGGTTTTAAAGTTCATTTTCCTGATGATTTAGTGATGTTAAGCATCTTTTCATGTGTCTACTGGCCATCTGTATGTCTTCTTTGGTAAAATGTCTATTCGGGTCCTCTGACCATTTTAATTGGATTATTTGTGGGTGTTGTTAGTTAGGTTCACAAATTTAATCATGTCTCAAAAAAAATTCTTAGTAGTTTTTAATAACAAATATACATATATAATATCTTGGGATCCTCTGGTATAGGCTGTCACACTGCTTTCCAAATGGAGTGCTTTCATTTACAGCCCTGTTAGCCCTCCATGGATGTACTTGTTTTATTACATCCTTCCTGGCACTGGGTATCTTTGTTTTTGAATTGTTTTCCTCATTTATATATATGAACATATCATTTTAATTGCATTCCTTCTATTAGTGAGACTATGGTCTCACAAAAAAAAAAAAAAAAAAAAAAGCACTTCTTTTTCCTTCTAGCAAAAGTTTTAACATTTTTCTTATTGAGAGGAACCTAACTTTAAAAATTTTTATTTAGGGGCACCTGGGTGGCTCAGCTGGTTAAGCATCTGACTTGGGCTCAGGTCATAATCTCACAGTTCGTGGGTTCGAGCCCTGCGTCAGGCTCTGTGCTGACAGTTAGCTCAGAGCCTGAAGCTTGTCTTCAGATTCTGTATCTCCCTCTCTCTCTGACCCTCCCCTGCTCACATTGTCTCTATCTCTCTCTCAAAAATAAATAAAACATTTAAAAATTTTTTAAATGTATTTATCATTTCTAAAGTGTAGTAGCTCACGCTATTGAAAGACAAGCAGAGATTTATAGAAGATACTTTTTTTTTAAAACATATTTAGCATCCTTAAAAATAGACACAGTGGATTTATTCCTGTCAGTGGACCAGAATTTGTCTAACTGGTTTAAACCCTTTCTTCTTGCTGCTTTGAAAGATTATTGGGTACAATGAAAATCAGTTTACCAACATTTTTAATACCTGCTCTATACTTGCAATATGATAGGTCTTAGTGGATGCCCAGCAAGTATAAAGCCTAGAGACTGATCCATACAGTTTGACACAGTT